TTTGCAATTTTTTTTTTTATTTTTTTGTTTTTTTTTTTTTTTCCATTATCCGCCCCCCCCCCCCCCCCCGTCCATTTCCGCAAACCTTCAAGTCATATTTTGTATTATGTATTAATTGGGCAAATATCCATTTGCATTATGCGTTGAAATCGGATCCATTACAGCCGGCAGCACTCTAAATTTGGTCTCAGCATTTTACTTTTCACATATTCAAGCACACAAAGCGGTGCACGGCCTGTGGTGTGATGTAATTTTTGTAGCCGAGAACATTTTTATTATGCTGCAGGCGGTGAGTCATGGCTAGCTTACCTTGGCCTAGAGTAGAGCTACATCATTTATAAAGCCTTCTTAGGAACAGTTGCAGCAAAGCTCCCACTGTCTGTGACTCACTGTCACACATTATTTTGTAGGCACTTATACACTCGCATTCAGGCTGGAACCTGTTGATTCTTTGTCACTCGCATTTTCAACCCAAAGATTTAGCATGTAGATCACGGTTTTGCCATAAAGCGGCGAATGGGGTTGCCATGGTAGTTTTATCAGCTGATGTGCACACCTGCTGCTAGTTATAAAAGATACATATGTGGTCCTTTGGTTTTTCTCGTGGTAAGAGCCTCCATTTCTTCTGTAACCCTGTTTGTGTGTGCTTGGCAGGGAGTGGAGGATGCCTTCTACACACTGGTGAGGGAAATAAGGCAGCACAAGCTGAGGAAGCTGAACCCACCTGATGAGAGCGGCCAGGACTGTATGAGTTGCAGATGTGTGGTATCGTGATGCAGGTAAAACATTATGAACTCAGTAACTGTCCCTCCATTGGTCCGGTAAAAGGTTTGCATACACCATGGGTATGAATGGGTATGGAAACTGTGTGTGTGTGTTTTTTTTTTTTTTTAACAATTCATATTAAAGTATCCATCCATTCATCTTGTGCATAGTTGTGGGGATTAGTGTCTATCTCCAGCAGTCGGCGAGCAAGAGCCAGAGTGCACCCTGGGTAATTAGCCCAATACTCAAACTCAATACAATCAAGGATTCAGCAAATAATTGTTGCATTACATTAATTCTCTAATAATACAACAAACAATGTATTTTTAGGACAGAGCTTGACTTCTCTAGTTTGTCTGGGATTTTCCCTCTATTCCACATGTGGTCAAAATTACGCACACCCAATTTGGTTCAGTGTCCCTCCACAAGTTTCTAAATATGGAATCCAGCACGATAGGGTATATTGCTTTTCAAGACTGAAAATCAAAAAAAAAAAAAAATTTCAATTGCATCATTTAAATTCCAAAATGACCATAACTTTCATACCCATGTTGCGTGTGTATAAACCGTTCAGCGGTCCTGCATGTGACTGAATACAGAATTCTGTTCGTTTTTTTCCCCGAAATGATACCATTTCAGTGCCGTCTTCTGTTGTTTTGTGTTTCAGCTCTCCATTTACATGTTGAGGAGAAATGCTGCGGCATAAAGTCGAGAAGTGACGGATTAAACAACCTAAAGATGACACATGAACTTTAACTAAAGGATGATGACTGAAGTGAAAGCTCATAAAGGAAACCAACACGGCTGACTGAACCATAGACTCTTATGAAAAAGAGGATTTTTTTTTTGGACTGTTGCCCGAGTGGCTGGCTGAACTGGATTGGTCCCATCTCCTAATTTCTTACCCCTTTTTTTGTTTTGTTTTGGTCTGCATCGACCTGTGAGCAACACCACTAACGACTTGGAACAAGCTGTGTTGCTCCACGTTTCTCTTGCTAACTTATTGTTTTCAGTCTCGACACTGGTTGTGAAGAGGGGGTGTTTCCTACTCCCTCCCTCTTGCCTTGAAACCTAATCCCCCTCTCCCTACAGAGCCTCTGGAAGTACTGACTGACTTTCATTTGGGAAAACAACTGGAAAGAACTTTTACTTTTTCTTGTCACACTGCATAAATAATCAGCCTCCATGCACTCACTCTACCTGTGCTGGGTTTCCTTGGGCGGCTCCTGTTATTGGACTGTTCTACTGGGAAAAAAAAAAAAAAAAGAGAGAGAGAAAAAAACGTATTTTTTTCTTACTAATTAGTGTAAACTGTAAAGGAAAAGTGTGGATTTTTGTTGTGATTGGTAGATTTGAAAGCCACTGGAACAGTGCTTATTTCACACGCCACCTGCTTTGGTATTTTTATTGACTTCTCTTTGAAATGGTAGAAGGTTCTTTTGGGATAGACGTGTTGAAGGGAGATTACTAAAATGGGCTCATTTCAAGGATGCAGCTGCATTCACTAATTACAAATGTCTCATTGTGAAATGTCTTTGCAAAATAATAATTGTGACGGCTAGCGTACGTACGTTCTGGTGCAATAGAACTCCACCCTCCAAACTTCAAGTGTTGGAAATACACCTCCTTAGACTTCTTCTCCATTTCAGTTTGGTTTCACAAGGAAAGCTGCGGCGCGTGCAAAACGTCAACATTTCATTTCTGTAACTAGTGTTTACAGCGCTTACTCGTGAATGATTCCTCTTCTCAGACTGCAAGATTTGCTTGTTTAAATCATAAAGGCTCAGGAACCAAGGTCCAGGAAGGGCTCATCTAACTTGTCCTGGCAGCCAAAGTAAGGTGTGTCAGAAGTTGGTGTTGCAGACTGTTGTAGCGCACAAGTCCTGCCTCAGAGTCCGTCAGTTTGTTTTTTTTTGCCACAAACACACACACACACACACACACACACACACACACACACACACACCGTTCTATCCTCAAGTTCCTCTTTCTCTGCCACCTACAGCTCTTTTAAGGGGGCAACAGCAAGTCAGGTGCTTATTTTATGAAACCATATTTACTGTACATGTGGGACTAATGTATGAAACAGATGATTGATGGTGGTTTACAGGAGTGTGTTGCTTGTACTTTTTTTTTAATGCTTCTAGGCTTGCGCTCTCCATAACTAATTCGTTTGCTGCCTAAATGAGACTTATGTGTTTATTTTTGCCTTATCTTTTATCTAGTTTTTACCTCATGCTTAGCAGCAAGCTCTACCAGAGGTGATGTTTGCTATTTTCTTTGTTGATTGATCTGAAAATATATGATTGTGTTAAACAAAATCATACAAAAACAAAAAACACTACAGGTTATTATTATGTTTTTGCTCTTCTGTAATAGCATCTTTCTGGATTGGATATTTACTTGTTAAAATACATGACATGCATGTCAAGTGAGAAATGAACTGGTATAAAACCTGTTCCCAAAATGGAACTAGTTTTAAAAAAAATTACATTCTATGAAAATCTACCGGATTGATTTATCAGTTGTGGAAATGTCTTTAGCAGGTTTTGAAATTTGCTTCACTTGTGGATCTTGGGCATATTTTCAGGTTTCAGTGAATGATTTCAATTTTTACTTGGCTGCATTTTATATTGCGTCTGGTCTTAGCTGATTGTTGTACAGTCAAAAACCAGAAATATTGACCAGTCTGGTTATCACGTGGATTCTGGTGGCCAGTTTGTTTTTAATTACTTGTTCGTTTCTCCTCCAGAGAAAAGACACAAACTGTGAATGTGCTTGGGTCTTTTAGATTTGGTTCGAAAGACACTTTGTGTTAAGATTATGGAGATGATGTAGGGGATTATCATTGACCCCACCTTTAACTGGGGGGGAGGGGGTGAAAAAACTGGAGTTTGTAACATGGAGTTACAGTTGTGGTGGTAAGACCTCTCCCCCCTTTATTTTTATTTTTTATTTTTACAACAGTTCACCCATAGTATAATCATAGTCTCACAAATCTATGCACACAACCTCCCCACAGCCCCCCATCACATTAGAAAAAGCAGCAGCATGTTGTTGCAAAACTCGGCCACCTACATCATTCGGACTTGTTTAAAACTTTGGGAAGCATGACAAAGACTGTATGGACCATTGAGATGGGGCAGGTGATGGTTTGCACAAATGTAACGAGTTCAAAGGCTCGTTTCTCCCTTTGCAAACCGTGGAATAGAGGCGTGAAAGAATTTTGTGAAAATGTCAGCTGTGTAGCTATTTAAAATGTATTTACTCTTTAAAAAAAAATGTGGCAAATGTATTGCAGGACAAGAATAAAGATGTCAAGATGAATCTTTCCCACTTTTAATTTTCTTTTTTTCTGCTGCCACCTACGGGCCGATGCGTGTATTGCGTGAAATGAATAAATTAAAGGCTGTGGACTGTATTCATCCCACCAAACTATAGAGCAAGATAAATGGCTTATATAGATATAGATCTGTTTGCTGGTCATAGCATTGTGAAAAGGTGATGTAAAGAACACTGCAAAGTCATTCAATAGATTTGAATATTATTGAAAGGTTCATTTATTTAAAGAATTGTATCACTTTGTGAAACATATTCACAAAGATGGCCTTTATTTCTGTTAATTGAGAGGAAAGCATGACATTTAAAATTAGAATATTACATCAGACCAATTTTAAAAAGAAAGATTTGTTATAAGAAAAAAAACTGTGCCCTTAATAACAGGCACATGTAATATCTGCTTAAATGTAAATTCTTAAAAGACACTTAAAAAAAAATGTCAAATAGGCTGAACTCACAAAGAGCTTTTCTGGTTCTGACTCCAGTGCTTTACTCTAAATCCACATTCATCTAATTACACTTACAAACGCGCACACATTCATTTATAGATACACGGATTGTTGGGCAACTTGGGTTAAGTTGCATTATTTGTTATTTACAACCTGATCTCTAAAGTTCCTGCATGATTATTTTATTTGCCTTGGTCTGCCTGTGGTTGAGACGAGACATCTTATTTAGCAATACCATCGTTTCGCAATTCGGTTCTGGATTCTCGAGAGAGGAACCACAACAATGTCTGGACTACAGCACACTAAAGATCCAGCAGTGCCCCAGCCTCACAGTGACATTGTTGGACAGACAGGATACCTGTGGGAGCCATATAGGAACCCAGAGACGAAACCCAACTGGGTTCAGAGAAAGCATAAATAGCCTTTCTGTGATTACAGAGGTTCAGACAGAAAGTTTGACAAGGTCCACATTGGGATACCCAGAAATCTAGGTCAAAGCATCTCTATAACTGCTGGTTTTGTTTGCATCAAACGTATCCAAGGACGGTGATCCAATGACGGGGGACATGGCTTTTGGCTCTTTCAGCAATATAAAAAGTCTTGACAAAAGGTAAAAAAAAAAAAAAAAAAAAAAAAGATTCAGGACCGGTTTAAGAGTTAAAAAAAAAAAAAAAATCAAGGTCATACACTGGATGTGCTAAACAAACACATCCAATCAATGCATGACATTAGGACAGCTTTCAGCTAAGATTAAGCTCCTCACTACTTGAGTTTTTCAAATGTATTGTTTAAACTAGAACACCTGTGAATTTATTTGAAAATATATGAATCATGTGAGGTGTGGACCACTGTAAGAATAGCTGTGTTGCTATAGCTAAATCTGGATGCTAAATAAACTAGACATGACTTAAACAGGTTTGCTGCTAACATCATGGTAACAGATTCTACAGCACACCCTCAGAGTTCTAATTAGTCTATTAACTGGTTAGGACTGTTTTGGGAACAAGAAGAGAATCAGCACAAGTATTGGGCAGGTCATCTTACTGTTATGCCTGATTAGGATTGCAAAATGTGATAACATAGTGAAGCAAAGTGGGTCAAGAACATTTAAATACAGTTAAAACAAAGAGTTTGTCACATGTACAATCTGCAAAAACATGTTAAATGCACACACCATAGTTTTTAATATAAACTTAAAACCTAAAGAAAGATCATTTTAAGTGCATATTCCCTTATCAGTAAATCTTAAAGGAAGCTATGCCGTTGACCTTAAAATAGGTCATCTTTGTTATTGTGTTTTAATTTATTGCTCCACCTCAACTGGAGACAACATTTATACAACAATATTACTCTTGTAAGAGTCTTGGAAAAGATAATCTTAGTTGCAAGTAAAATTTGTCATAGGCTTTTTAATAGGAAATTTTGTTCTGGTAGCAGCATTTTATTGCTATCCCTAGCTATATCTGACTGTTATGTTGCAACCTTAACGGCAGCGCTGAATTACTTACCTTAGATTTTTTTTCTTTAAAAAGCAAAATCATTCATGGCTGCTGCATTGCAAAACTGATCTAAAAAGAAAACACATTTTCTTGTTTTTCAAAGCCACATGGGACCAATCATTCTTTGTATATCTAGTCATTTGCATAATTGTGGGTCTGTTCACTTCCTGGCTGTCCAGGGTTATAAAAGACGGGAGGTTGTCCTCAAGGTAGTAGGGTTGAAAGTTGATTGCAAAGAGAGGCCCTTTCTCATTCTTTTGTTCTTTTTTGAAGGGTTTTCGAAGAGAAATCTAAATTTATCATGTTATTCAATGAGGAAATGATAAGGAAAATGCTCCCTAGGGTAAGTTCTTTTTCAGTTTAACTAATAGCCATGAGCAATTTTTTTTTTTTCAGTTTTAAAACCATTGTCATAGCTTTGCTCTGTTGTATCTATTTTAAAGGCATATCAGCGAAAACATGTGGCTCATCAAATTTACGTCTCCATGTCTTACTTCAAAAACCTCATGCCTGTGGTGGATGAGTACGGTATGCGACAAAATAGCGACTCAAATTGTTTTGTCAGTCTTAACACTATGAATCTATACAACAGAATATATTATAATTTCATCTGATATTACGTTTATCTGATATTTGATTTACTTTGTACAGTGTACAAAGATGGAACCACAAAAAGCTTAATGAGCCTTACAGGAACCATTCCTGTGGTGTTTTCAGGTAACTCAGTTTGTACTTTGAACCATGTAAAACAGATAACCTCATTATTGTTGCTTTACCAACAGTGAAAGACCATAAAGCAGTGCACTTTTCTGTTGCCTGAGTTATATTTATAACATTTCCTCTGTTTTTATGTAAGGCAAGACCTACAGCATCC